CAGTGTCTGAACTGTGCATCTCGCCCGCAGGTCCGCCATCGCGGCTGGCCTCCAGGGTTACAATGCCACCCTGGTGGGCATCCTCATGGCTGTCTTTTCAGACAAGGGGAACTACTTCTGGTGGCTCTTACTGCCTGTGTCTCTTATGTCCATGACTTGGTAAGTTGCACCTGGTTTTCCAAGTGACTAAAAAAAAAAATATAGCGGGGAGAAGAGGGAAGGGGGAGTTATTATTTAGTGGGTACGAGGTTTCAGTTTTGCAAGATGAAGATGTTCGTTTGCAAGGTGGTGATGATGGTTGCACAACAATGCCAATGAACTTAATTCCACTAGACTGAATGCTTTAAGACGGTAGATGGTCAATTTCATGTTATGTAGATAACACGATTATTAGAAAAATAATTTTTTAATTTAGATTTGGGTTATGTCTGTTGGAAATAGGAAGCATTAAAACACACTGATGCATGTGGCCTTCCACACACACCTCTCTGCCCCCCTCCAACTCTGACGTAATCTGGAGTGTCGCCAGTGCATCGGGAGTTCTGAAGGCTCCTCGGGGTTCCCAAAGTTCAAAGTGGAGAAGCACTCCCTCCATCAGTGGTCCTCAACCACACACACTGTTGGGATCCCCTGCAGGGCCTGTTAAAACACAGTCTGCTCTCTTCTCCAGGCTTCCTGACTCAGTCCATCTGGGGCTGGGCCTGAGAATCTGCATTTCTCACAAGTTTCCAGGTGATGCTGACACAGCTGGCCCAGGGACCACACTTTGAGAACCACTGTGCCTATATGAACTCCCTTTAACCACCACTGCCCCTCTCGCCTTCAAAAGAATTATTTAAATTCAATTCCTTTTTTTTTACCTCGAAAGCCTTCAAACTAGTCTCTACACTGACCCTGTCTTAAATCCATTTTTTTTTTTGGAAGCAGACATTTCCTTTTTAATGTAACATGTTTAGAATATGAAATAGTAGTATCCACACAAAGGAGAAGTGCAGCCCACTATGGACAGTGCGCCCACCCTGGCTGCACCCACAGGTGTGTGGAGGAGAACCTGCCAGCGCAGCCAACGTGCTCAGGGGAAACTTCCGATCAGGAGACATGGCTCGTACGCGGTCCCCACGCCTCCTGCCCTCAATTCAGGAAATCGGGAGTTCTGACCTTAAAGTGATGGCTCTTTGATTTAGGGCAACATGTGGGCAAAAAAGGGCCTGGAGAGCATCTAATTCAACCTCCCAGTTTACAGATGAGGAACCTGTGGGGCTCCCCCTTGCCCGAGGTCACACAAGTCAGCTGCTCAAGGACTTGAAACTCTGCCCTCCGTCCACCACCCATTTGGTGGTTATCACCATTTGGTTGTGATTGTTTAGGAAATTGTTGTTTTCTGAATATCCACGACTCACCTTTTGGAACTAGAGGTAGAAAAGACAAATAGATACATTTGCATCTGAAAGCCAAATGTTTTCACAACATTATAAATCATTCCTGAGAACTAACTGCTACTATGTAAAGGAAGAATAAAACTGACCTAAAATCAACAGAGAATATGCAACTCAAATCTCTTCAGATTTGAATACTATAGATTGGTAGATGGATGAGAGGGACAATGGATGGATAAATATGTGATTAAAAGGTGTAGTAAAATATTTTTTATTTAAAAAATACCTGCCCCCTGCCCCAAGTTTAAGACCTTTTCCAGCCCACACCACCTGCATCCTCCCTGGGACCATTGTTTTCCTTTTTAAAAACTAAATATACTGAGACTTGCGGAGCTGGCATACATTCAAGACAGAGGTTGCGTCTGGTGGGGAGGGAGGGGCGTATGATCAGGTAGGTTACACAGGGGGCTTTAAATGTGTAGACAATATTTTTTTTGTATGTCTTAAATACTTCAAAAAAATATTTTTAAACCCTAGATTTATAACTCACTGTGAGCAACCCCAGAGTATAATTTTTCAAAAGCCAAATAAGCTAAGGGTTGATTTTTGACTTTACGTAAGAATTATTCCACGACAGGCTTTAATCTGGATGTGTTTGGGGTTGTTTCGTTTAATCTGTTTTTTCGGTGAAGTTTGCCAACACAACACTATTTGGTGATGAAACAAAGCCCCTCCATAGAACAGAAATTCAGTTTGTCAGCCTGGCTTATCACATAATGTTTTCTTCCATTCTGTTCTATTGTTCTTTTTAGTCCAATTTTCTCAAGTGCACTGAGCTCCGTGTTCTGCAAATGGGACCTCCCAGTCTTTACTCTGCCCTTCAACATGGTATTGTCAATGTACCTTTCTGCCACGGGACATTACAATCCATTTTTCCCAAGCCAGTTGATCACACCTGCAACCTCGGTTCCCAATGTCACCTGGTCTGACCTCAGCGCCCTGCAGGTAAGAGACACTGCCTTCTCACATCGCCCCTGGAAGACACCCCTTGGCTGATTGTTCATGGGCATCAGAGCCTTACAGAGACTCAGTTCTGGGGTGGCCTTGCCGCTGTCTCCTGCCATCTAAATGCTTATTTATTCTAATCCCAAGATTTCGGTTCTAAGGGATTTTTTTTTTAATGACTATTTGGTCAAAGCTAACTTTTCCCCCTCTTTTCCTAAAATCTGCACTGTCACCACCAGAGTATCACTCCATTGGAATTCAGACACTCTATTTCAAACTTGGCTTTTGTTTAGGTGGGTGTGATGGGGGCCAGCCCTTGGGGCAGGGGCCTCCGACCTGGGGTTCGGTCCTCCAAGACCTGCCTCCTCCAATTGAAAGAGCGGCTGCTGACTGTTAGATCCCACGGCAGAATCTCCCAACTCTTCTTCCTGTGGTAGATCTCATAGAACATGCACGATAAATCAGGGTTCTCGAGCTTGGGTAGGGGTCAAAATCATTGTTTTTTAAGTACCAAAACGAGCGCCATCTCAGACTCCCTACGTCCTAATCATTGGGGGTGGGGCCTACCAACCTGTATTAGGCTCCCCTAAAAATAGTGGTGTGGGCCAGAGTTTGAGGACCACTATCACAGGATGTATGCATCTTATCTCTTTACAAATTACAAAGAGCAAGCACTATTTTTAAAAACCTCGTTAACCCAAATCAAATTCTACCCCTTCCAGTCGGTGTTTATTGAATAGACCTGTTTACAGTTTCTTGATTTTTTTTTAAGTCACTTGACCTCAGAAGAAAAACAGCCTTACCTTTTTTAATGTGCAGGAGACTGGCTTTCCCACTATCAAGTTATAAAACACCTTTGTGTTTGTGAACTATGGATAAAAAACCGACTTTGGGTCTCTGGTCTTCACACTAACAACCAAGTTGCATGGAGTAACAATACTTCTATTGACCAGAGGGATGCAGCCATGCATTGGCCTCAAACTGATGGGCTGTTGAAAGCCATTGAAGTATCAGCTATGGCCCCTGCCCTCCTCACTGGGAGGCATGACCGGTCCTCACAGTGGGGAGCAGTGACACCACACCTGAGCTTATCGGGGACCACAGCCAGGCGTCAATGCAACGGAGGCACGCTCAGCACACAGCGGGGAAGGGCTGGTGTGTCTCTGGGGATAAAGCAGAAGAAGGACTGAGATTTTTCTACAGAGAGAGATTTTAAAAATTAGGAACACTGATCTTGAAGGATGCTGAACCTAAAAGTACATCGTGTGGTGTTTGTGGTGTCCTGTGGGTTTCGGTCCAGTTGTTTTACTGACCGCATTTTCTAAATCATTTCTGCAGTTACTGAAGTCCGTGCCTGTGGGTGTTGGTCAGATATACGGCTGTGATAATCCGTGGACAGGGGGCATTTTCCTGGGTGCCATCCTCCTCTCCTCCCCCATCATGTGCCTACACGCTGCGATCGGGTCGTTTCTGGGGTTAGCAGCAGGTGAGCATTAGACTGGTTACCAGACTCTGAGCACCTTTTCGCTCCACCCCTGTCTCTGGCATCTCCTATACCCCAGACCTTTCCTGAAGGTCTGCTTCCAAGGGACCAGCGGGAGTTCTCAGATGCCTCCCCGACCCCCGGACTCCTTCCAGAGCATCCTGCCTTTAGTTCAAAGCTCTGATCCCTCCTGCCTTGCCCAACAGGACTCAGTCTTTCTGCTCCGTTTGAGGACATCTACGCTGGACTGTGGGGTTTCAACAGCTCTCTAGCCTGCATTGCGATTGGAGGAATGTTTCTGGTGCTCACCTGGCAAGCGTTCCTCCTGGCTCTTGCCTGCGGTGAGTATCCCGTGTATCCAGGGGGTGGTTGCTCGTGACCGTGGGATCAACACCAAAGGCCACAGTAAGGAAGAACTGTGGGAGGAATCAGAGCCGGAGCTCTAGGCTGCGCCCCTTGCTGGTGTGTGACCAGGGCAACCGCCAGCCCCTCTCTGGGAGGACTCACGGCGCTCTGCCTACCTCACCAGTCATTTTGAAGACAGGAGAGGCTGTTGAGTTATATTAACCAGTTTACAATATGTGTCTGTTGAGGGGCAGAAACTCGGCTTGTCCTGTTCTTGATCCAAGAAACTAAAAGGAAATAAGCTAAATGTACAGTCAGTTCTCTGGTGAATCAGAAGGTCTCAATGTGGCCCTTTAAGAAGCACATCACTGTGGCTGTTCTCAAACTTGAGCAGGCATCAGAATCAGCGGGAAGCCTTGTTAAAACCCAAATTGCTGGGTCCCATTCTGGTCCCTGACTCATGGTTAGAGGTGCTGGGGGGTTGGACGGGGTGAGGGGAGTTTGCACTTTTAACAAGGTGCCAAGTGGTGCTAATCCTGTGCCTGGGGTCCACATTTTAAGAACTGCTATATTAATCCTTTCTTTTCTTTTTTATTGAAGTACAGTCAGTTTACAATGTTGTGTCTTGTCAGCCAAGGTGAAGAAGTCACAGACTTTGATTACAGAGCTCCTCTTTTATCAATTCCTATGGCTTTATCAGGAAAAGGACTTGGGACTCTGATGGAGCCTGGCAGTGCTGTCTTCCCTGTGTCCCTAAACCAGAAACTCCATGGTCAGGAAACTCCTCGGTTTTGTAATTTTCTCAGTGCAAACCAGAACCACATTTTGGGTCTTTTTTTAAGGGTTGGGTTATCACGCAGGACTTGCCCATGGTGGTCTGTGGGGCGGGACACTGTCTATGAAGAACTGGGATTCAGTCCTCCCTTCCATACTCAAGAGCCTTTTCTCTCCCTCAGCTACTCAGAACTCTGTCAGGGTCGTCACCTCCAAATCGTGGTGTCCAGAACTTCGCCTTTCATGTAAGGCTTTCTCAGCCCGACTCAGCGAGTCTTAATGGACAGGCAGCAACAATAAGATAGTCTGACACTCTTACTTTAGAGAAAAAAGCAACATGGACTTGAAATAGCATAACAGTATGAGATCCGAGCACCAGAAGTGTGTTACTATTAAGAGGTATTAAGCCATTGCACTTCCAGGAGGGAAATGGCCGTAAGGTCTCCTGTGCTCAGGGGAGGTGTCACAGAAGAGCTGTTCCTCTAGGGAGCAGGGACAGAGTGTCCCCTGTACTTAGTCAAAGGCCAGTGAATAGTTCTTGAATGAGTGAATGAATGAATGAATGAATGAAATGGGGTGGGGAGGAAGAACAAGATTATCAAAATCAAGCAAAGAAACTGTTCCAACCCAGCCCTTCTGTTCAGAGCAGTCCCTCCACCCCATTGTGACAGAGATGAGTTTACAGCTTTCCCATTAGCGTGAGACAATTCAGATGTGAAAGAATTAAGTATACTGTTGAACAAAAAATGATTAAAAAAAAGATGAAATCACGATGAAAGAATGGAACCCTGTAGTAAAGTAAATGAGGGCGGCAGAGACCCTCCCACCAATCCCGTCCCATCCCACAAGGTGACTGACGTGATGTCTGGCTGGACATGAAGATCAGATCACCAGGAGTGTCTAACAGTGAGTGCTGGTGGCCCAACATGCCACACGGCCATTATGTTAGGGTCATTCTTCAGGCTGCCTCTGTGGAAACTAAGGGCTTCCCTGAGCCTCCTTGGGCCCCTCCTTCAACCAAAACTGAGGAATTGGTGGTTAGCTAGTTGTGATCTTTGTTTTTATTGTTTTACATTGAAAGTCATACGTATACTCAAATTACCTACCCTAAAATCCATGCTCAACGTTCATAAAAACACAGAGTATTAACTCATTGACCTGTATGCCAACTTTCATGGTATTTGGAAAAATGTTTTAATGGGGAGGAATCCCAAGTCTGTGTTCAGTTTCTGCTGATTTCTGGGTTACTACCTAGTTTTTTTAAAACATTTTTTTATTGATTTATAATCATTTTACAATGTTGTGTCAAATTCCAGTGTCTACCCAATTTTTTTATACCATGATTTTTGTGTAGCTGTGAATTCTAACCATTGAGATGAGAATCTCAGATGCAGTGAGATTGTGTGCTATCTCAAAGAACATTCCTGAATTTCATTTTAATTCAATTATTCTTGGGTTAAATAAGTGGAAGTTTATTTACCACAGAAGGTCTTTTTCTTAAGGATTAGCAATAACAGCAACAAAACAGTAACTACAGGAAAGCAGCCTTTATTGAGTGCTTTGTGTGCGCCAAGCCCAGACACTATCTTCTTTCACGCTCACACTAACCCCTGATAGAGAGATAGGCGAGGAGGTGATGACTTACAGTGGAGACACCAAGCTCCTAAGGGTGGAGTCCGGATGTGAACCCGGAGCAGCTGACACTAAGCCCATCCTTGTAACCAGGATCCTGGGCTAGCTGGCGAAACACACAAGTTGACATTCAGAGGATTTATACCCCAAGGCAGTCTTTCTGGTAATGAAAGGTACACCTACCAAACTTTTTTTTTTTTTTTAGCTCTGTTCACTGCCTACCTTGGAGCCAGCATGTCAAACCTGATGGCTGTGGTGAGTTTGCGTTAATCTCACTTTCTCTTCGGCATTATTGATCAGTTTTCAGTGACAGGGAAGCCCTCCTAACGTCCACCTAGGTGGCATCCCAGGGCAGGGTCCATGGCTGGTAGCCACTGCTGTCCATCTCCTGGACCCACCTGTCCTCACTTCCCCTCCAGCACCGTGGTAAACTTTAGTCTAAGCTACACTCATCTGGCTTACTAAAAATATCAGATTGTTTGATTTAAAGAAATCAAATGGAGAATGTATAGCATAGTGTCAAGTTCATACTTTAACTCTGAGTGTCAAGAAGTTGACTTTAGAATATCCTTTACTTAAACAGAAAACCAGGACTATGTAGACATTGGGAGATCAGAAAAGGAAGGGCAAAAGGACAATTGGTTAAAGACCCAGTTTTTTTTTTCATGAAGCCAACTGTTTTTCATACCCCTTGCCTTTTTTCCAATCCCTAGTCAGGCATCAGTAAGACTTTTTCAGACCCACATCCTGGCTGAATTATTTCACAGGCAAAATCATTGCCCATTAAGTGCCTCCTTCTATTCTCTCCTTCCTTTTCAGCACCGTCCTGCCCTTTGACCTTCTCCTTCCCCTCCCCTGAGGAGCCCAGGATCCCCTGACGATTCTGGGGTCTCGGTGCTCTTGCTCACCCACCACTGCAGGTGATGGAGGGCTGATTCCTGATAACTCCATCTGGGTAGATGTGGTCATGGCTGCCTGTGCGTCATTAGCAGCTCAGAGACGTTACCTGGAAGGGTCCTTTTGGAGACACAATATCTTTATGGTAGAATGTCAAAGCCCTGTTCCAGGCATTAGAGCTTATGGGGCCCTTCACATCCCAACAGAGGTTCACAGACCTTGGTCTGTGGGCCAGAATTGGGCAGGTTGCAAAACAGTCATCGAGGGAGATCCTTAAGCCCTGTGCCTTGGCATTTCTGATAGAATAGATCTTGTGTGACACCTGGGTGTCTGTGTTTTTTAAACTCTTCCAGATGATTCTGATGTGCAGTCAGGTTTGGGCACCATCACACCCCAGGCAGGTCCACATATAGGGCCGAACCTAACCAAGTACATGGTGTACACTCAGAATTGTACACGTTGCCATGGACGCAGAGGAACATGGAGTGCACTCAAGGAGCTTAGAGTCTTTTGAGTGATAGAAAGAAGAGAATTAAAGCAAGCAGAGTCCGAGACCCAGTCTGGGTGGAAGTGGAGAGGGGACGTCACTGTGGGCTGAACTAACTAACCAAAGGTGGCTTTGTGCACGTGAGGAGTGGTCAGGAGCTGTTGGAGGTTTGTTAAGTGTCATCTCTGGGAGCCAACTGTCATCTTTGCACGTCTAGTGTGGGAAGTCTGCACATACAAGGGGAGGGCAAGATATACAAGATGGAGAGATGACTGACGACCCTAAGGAATGGATGCTGGCATTTCAGCTACTGAATGCCCTGCGATCTTAGACTCAGTCTCCATGGGGATCAGCAGAGCCCAGAGCAGTGCCCCGCAGGGAGTCATCCCCGAGCTTTCCAACAGATCTCAAAGGAGCGTGTGGCTTGTCTTTTCTCCTCCAGGTCGGATTGCCATCTGGTACCTGGTCCTTCTGTTTGGCCACCCTACTGTTTCTCCTGGTGACCACGAAAAACCCTAACATCTACAGGATGCCGCTCAGTAAAGTCACTTATCCTGAAAAAAACCGCATCTTCTACCTACAAGCCAAGGAGAGGATGGTTGAAAGCCCTTTGTGAGTGCAACTCCCATCCACAGCCACGGTCACAAGTCATTTCTGGCGAACTGCCCCAGTTCACTTCCAGGGTTTCAAAACTGTTGTTTTTACTAGGAACAAATTTCACACTAACCCATTGGTGATCTGTTCTTATGCTCATTTTGTATTTTTCTTTCAGACTCCGGGACGTCCCCAAACAAGTGACAGACACATCAAGGTGATGTGCTCTGGCTATGGAATTTTAGACCCTAATAGGGCGCTGGCACTAAGATTGTACTATATCTATTAAGTCAGAATGATCCAACAGAAAGAGGAAATGAGACCAAAGCTAATTATTGATATTTATTGGTATTCTTGGTGTTTGGTTGGCTAGACGATGTTAACAGTATTAAAAATTAATCTCTATAAGCCAACTAAACCTTAAGTGAATGGAATTCAGAGTCACAAGATCGAAGTCAACCCAGAATTCTCAGATAAGCCACTGGGCTTCTTTAAGATCAATGCAAGGTGCACATCACAGCTGTGGTCCACGTGGCAGGGGTGCGGCCCGTCACTGAGCCCTCCCCCCAGCCCCTCAGCAGAAGGGCCTCCGTGCTGCCCCACGTGCGGGTCCCATCTCTCACAGGAGATGGTTGGTTTGGTTCAGGCTGGCAGAGCCGCAGGAGGAAGAAGGGATCCTGTCCACCAAAATTACTCTGTAGTGTCCCTTTTCTTGGATTCTGCAAAGGATTTTCTAGGTAGAGTTTAGTATTATCTTTTTTCTTAGGAGAATGGATTTGTTTTCAAAGAGGTAAAAGAAGAGAAGTTCCTGGCTTCATCAGTTCCTAGATATTAAAGAAAAGTTACATTTTTCTAAAATATTTCTCGTAGCTATTTTTACTTTAATCCCTAAATTGGTTTTGTCAATGCCACGAGTGCACAGAATCAAACCATAAACATCCAGGAGCCTCTGAAAGGCATTTTTAATTCATTTAAAGATGCCTTACACATTATAAAGACTGAAAGCTAATGTCAGATTGCTTCCGGGTGTTTCAAAGTTGTTGAATTCTTACGTTAAAAAAATAATTGTGATTTTCTGCACACTGACAGTGTTCTTGCTCAGAAACCATGGTATTTGAGCTACCAAAAAGAAATATAGGTAAAAGAGGCCCCTGCTTTGTTTCGTTTGTGTGAGTTATCAGTCCTATAAAGAGTCTATAACCCAAAAGCTAAAAGTGGTGATAGGAAGCTCAGGAATTTTGGAGGATTGGAAAAGCGAACCTGAAATCCTAAAGGTTTTTTTCCTCTTCGGGTTGGCAGTGCCAAACATGCAGTTTGCTGAGTGAGCAAACAGAAGAAGGGCAGTAAACCTACAAATATTTTAGGGAACAGTTCACTCCTTCATTTTCTCAAGAAAACAAACCTTGTTCCAGTTTTAAAACTTTGTGACCAAAGCCTTTTGAAACCATGACTCGACAACTGTCATGGAGTCATGCATCTTCCTGCAGAAAAACTAAGTTTTCAGTGTTTGAACTGAAATCTCCCTTGTCAGGGAATTTGTGAAATGAGAGTCGTGGGGAGGGGGGTGGTCAAAAAAGCAAGATAACCAAAGATAACCAGGAGTAAAGAGCCTGGACCGCAGCTGAGCGAACCAGACCCTCTGGACTGTCTCCAAGTCCATCTTCAGAACAAAGCTGCAGCGTCTTGACTGCACACCCTGTTCCTCTGTGCTCGTACGGACTTGTAAACAGGAACATTTTAAATTCTTGGACGTTGTCTAATTTAAATGGCATAAATTTGCTCAAGCTATTTTTATTACTAAGTATTACCCTAACAATATTAGCGAGTATTTTATTGGTTTTCTTAGGGAGCACTTGCATTCTTTACTATTGTCTGTATGACAGATTTCTATGTAGGAATATGAATAAATTACAGTCACTGCTCCATTTCGTGTTGATTTTGTTGAACAGTCATAGAGGCCTTTTACAGTGATCGTGTGTATTGCTAGCCATGTGCATGAGTATTCTTGCTTCTATTTCCATGCGCTGGAATCCTTATTCCTTTCTTATGCTTCATAACAGCACCAGATGTGGAGCTGAGCAAACGCTGTCCAATTTCAGATTTGTGGATCCACCCCCTTAGGTATCCTCTCAACTATCTGCTGTTCTCCTCACTGGGGATTAGAATGCATTACTGAGGGTGGTTACAGATGTTCAGGGCATGCCCCTAACACTCGGAGAAGAATATTTTGAGAGCCAGCTTCTATGCATTTCCAGACAGGCCCTGGGTACCCCACTCAGGACTGACCCTGGCCCAGGACCTGCCTCAGGGTCAATGTTCCAGGACAAGCTACTGTTCAGAGTGTCAGCCCCTGAGGGTGAAGGCCAGTGCTTGATCTGCCCCGGAAGCACTTCGCTCCCACCTCCTTTCACCCATGGTTAGCATATGTGAAAGAAAACATGATAAGGATGGAAATTTACACCAACCAGTTTCAAAAGCAGCCCAAACAGGAAACCAAAGGAAGCCACAATGGACTGGCCCCACTGGAGTGCCCTTTGTCAAAATGAAGCCTCCCCCACCTGCAGTTTCAAGATAATAAATTTACAGGAGTGACCTACCCCCTTTGGTATGTTGTAGAAAACAGAGAAGGTTTTTGAGGTTCTTCTGCTAAAGACTCCTGACACTCCATACCTTTCGGAGTTACACAAGCCAATTTCCTTGTTACGCATGACACCTGATAGCATGAAATATGTTGAGATAGAGGTTAAAGTCCATGGGAGATCAGGAATTTCCAAGGGGGCTTCACACACACAACCTGGCAAGAATGTTCTTGAGGTTGTTTAGTATAGAGCAAGGTGTTATGCACGTGAATGTTCTCAGCCTTCCTCTTTAGTTCACAACTTCCTTCCAAAAATCTTTAATCATCAGAATTAAATCTCCTTCTTGAATCTGGATTGACAAACCCCATCAGAAGACTTGTAGCTTCATGGTTACAGGGTTCCATTTGCTAAAACAATCAGCAATGCAGATCCTGAAGGAATCTGAACAAATGTAGTAAATTATGATAGACTCTTAGAGAAGTGAATTGAAGTCCGATAATAGTTTGCTTTCACAGCTCTTAAAATTTAACTTTAAAAGACATAGGATACATCAAAGCTGCCATATGTAAAGTCACCCCCAAAAAATGATTTATTCCATGGACCCTAGAATAACTAAGGATGGCTTCCTGGAGGAGGTGTGACTCTGCCCTTATTTTGACACATTCCCTCCCTGGCTCCCCTCGACTTGGCCTTGGAAGCTCATTTGGGCTCTTGCTGGATCCCCTGACTACCACTTTTGCCAGAAAAAATTGCTTGGGTCCAAAGAAATGATGCGCTTACTGAGGGGCCATGTTTTGATGGGCCCAGAGATTAACAGTGTAGACAGTTAGACGGCAGGTGGTCGGGGGCAGAAGGGGGTGCCTATAGCGGAGACTCCACTTTCTTTAAGTGCACAAAGCTTACATCCATCGAGTCAGCCTGTATCAGCCATCATTCCCCTCTCACACTCACCCTTAGCCAAGACAATGGCACAGAGTTCATCTTACCCACCTGCTGTGTGATCACGCCTTTTCACCTGTAAGAATGACCCAGCAATAGCTAACCAGATTTTACACAGACAAAAAAAAGCCAGAAAGAAGAAGGCTGCCATTGTGAGTCCCCGGGCCCTGCCTCCACCCCTCTGCTCTTGTGAAGAAGGCTAGTTTGTGCTTCTCTCCTTCTCCTGGAAACCTCCTTCAACATCCACACCTGCGCCATTTGTCCGACCTCTGACCTCCCTTTCCTCATGGACCTGTGACCTGCAGCCCCGCCCACTACTGCTCATCACAGGCACTTTGTAGCCTGAGGACCCCCTTCCTTAGCATCCATTAGTCCCTTTACCAGACCAGTCGATAACATTTTTGCATGTCACCCTGGAGTACAATTGGTCAAACGACCCAATGCAGACAGACTTTGTATGCCTATTATTGGTTATAGTTTAGTGCAAAACATTATTCCTTTCCAGGCCATGAGGTGGGGTCTAAGAACCCAGGACTCAGTGTTGGGTGCGTGAGGGAGGTGCATGCACCTGGCATCAGCATCAGGACAGTCACACCTGGACCAGATCAGGCCAACACGTCCATGATCTGAGAGGTACCAAGACCCTAAGATGCCTTCAGAGCAGCACCCCCTGCCCCTGCCTCCTTGGAGCCTGAAATTTCTCCCTTGAAGCCTCAGTAAAAGAGCATTATGCTGCGACAGCAGCAACTCATTAAGATCTCAGATATTAAAACCCCTGGTTTATCTGGTCTCTTCCCACCTAAGAGTTGGCAAGAGCAAATCCTATAGGAAAGAGATTGTAGAAAGATTAGTTTTGATGCGCAAATCCAAGGAAGGTGGTCATTCAGGACTGGAGCAGTGATCACTCAAAGGAAAGGAAAGGGGGGGGGGTATGTGAAAAGAAAGCAAGGACAATGCATGATTAAAACACATCCCCCACTGAGCACATCGCTGTGAAGAGAAAAGCCAGTAGAGGAGGACCAGGGAGCTCAATGAGGAGCGTGCCTATGCCAGCAGGGCAGTAGTTACGAACAGCTTTCCTCGTCTAAGCCATTTATATTGTGGTTACCTCCTCTTCTCATAGTCTTGAGATCCCAGCTTGCCCCCCCAGTGGACATTTGTTGTCTATAACTCCCCAACACACTGCCCACTTGCTTCTGGTAATGGCGCCTTCCTTTCCTTAAGGAATCTGCTCCCTCCCCACCCATGGGGTTCTCCTGGGGCTGCCAGCCTTACTGCCCTGCTCGCAGGCGCAAGGGGAGTCAAATGACTCAGAGCTGGTCAATCACATATTCCAACCCCCCGGCCACAGGGATTGGCCCAGGGGGTAGTCACCTGACCCAAGCTGAGCCAATCAGATTCTGCCCTGCAGGAACCTGAAATCTAAGCAGACACTGCAGGACAGAAGGAAAGTGGAGCTGAGTCTGACAGTGGTCTGGAGAAAGGCTCTGAATTACTCAGAGGAGTCAAGGCAAAGGCCAGACAAAGCTGTTAAGCTGAGGCCTGGGGGAATGAGCTAAGATGCAGAAATGCAAGGCTGGGGTCCAGATTCAAACCTCATGACTTACCAGTCAATGAAGCTCCCTCAAATGTAACCAGTGAGAATTTGATAGCCAGAGACACTGAAGGCTGGACAGAAAGCAGCTTACGATGACCAACCTTAAGGCAAACCCAGGCCCCAGAGCCCGTGCCAGGAGGGAGTGGGCCTCAGGGCAGGCTAGCCCCACAGCAAAACCTTCCCAGTGTCCTTCAGGTGAGCCCTGGATGGAGGCCCCAGCAAGCAGAGCACAGGGAGGCCACACTGGCTGACCGAGGACTCAACCAGGGCCAGGCGGTCAGTCCACAAACATGTCTGCCCACTTACTCACGGTCCCTGACCACCCATGCCGTCCCTTGAGCCAAGGGCTGTCATCTCCTGCTCCCTTTTCCCTTTTTCAAGTGGAAGTTTGTTATTTTTCTCCTGTTCCTCTCCATGATGGCTACGTATTTGCTATGTTGTGGGTGGCAGATTTACCCCTTTGCAAAGTCCAGAGGAATACACCCATCCCCAAGGGGGAGGGGGATTCAGGAGACTTCTGGATGTCTCCCATGGGAAGGAGGTACGAGCAATGTGGCTTTATCTTAATCAGAGGCATTTTTGAAACTGTGTATATAGGAATAAGAGGGTGTGTGAGCTGAGCCACAAAGCGACTGTTCTGTGTCCAGTCTGTGCCCACCCCCGACCCCTGACCTCTCTGCTCATGATCTTGAACCCCTGACCACAGAGGGAGGCCCATGAGCCAGACCAGAACAGCAAACACTGCACTTTACCACAATGACTGAGTCAGGACGGTCACATGACGGCAGCTGCCGATCTCAGTTCTTCTGGCTGAAGCTGGTGGGAAAGAACCTCTTTCTTTCTTGGTGATGCAGATGCTGGGATGTGAGTTCAGGACTGTCAGTGGCCATGTTCCCCATTGTGTGGAGAAAGGCCCTCTGGAGTAGGAGACAGCGAGGAACAGGTAGAGAGACAGAGAAAGAGTGTGTGCTCTGGAAGGTTCCTGTCCCTGAGGTCCCTATAAATTCCCTGATTCTTGTGTGTCTTCCTTACCTTTTCTCCTTAAGCTGCTGTAGAAAGTCTGCCTCTTTCACTTTAGAGTCCCAGCTAACCGACCAGCCCTGAACATCTGAGCTGAACTTTGTTGACCATGGCCCTTTACAACACATTTTCATTCTGTTTGTATATCTTTGCCAGTCAGATAAATTTTCTTGAGCTTTCTTTTCAAGTTTGCATTTCAAAGGGAAATAGATAAGTGAATGAATTAGAATTAAGCATGACTTCAAGGAATGCAGACTCAAAACAACACAGGCTTAAACTAGAGGGAGATTTCTCTCTCCTAAGTGGAAAAGCCTAGAGGTGAATTTCCTTGGCTGAGCCCCACCGACTGCTCAAGGATCCAAGCCCCTTTTGTCATTCCCAAGGGACCCTCCTGGTCTCAGGTGACTGTTCCAGATGAGTGGTTCTCATTCGAGGGCATTTTCTCCCAGAGGACAATAGGCAATGTCTGCAGACATTCTTGGTTGTCAGCACCTAGGTGGTGGGGGAGAGGGGAGAGGTATCAGGGGCGTGTAGAGAGTGGAGACCAGGGTTGCTGCTAAATGTCCTAGAGCAGCATTCCCTAAAGAATTATCCAAGCCCTCGAGGTGAGTCGTGTCAAGGTTGAGAACCTGTTCCAATCCAGCCATAACACCTGTGATCCAAGAAGCAGGTAAGCAGACAGAACAAGGGGACAAAAGACAGGTGTCAGTTGTCTCTTAAGAAAAGCTTCCTTAAGCACAATTCTGCTTATATTCCATTCACCAGAATTTAGTCACACAGCCACACACAG